ATTGTAGAACTTCTTCCTCAAAGGATCTTCCATTAGGAGCAATATGATATCAATAGATTGAGTTTTACTAAAAAAAATATTAAAAAATTGAAAATTATTTATTTGAAACACCGTTATATTAACGGTTAGGCTTCATTTGGTATATGAAATTCAAGCTATGAAATTAGAATTGAGAATTTCAATTCCTAGCTTGCTATTTGATAGCATAAAAATATGTAAATTTAGAATTGGTAGTGCAAAAATTGAATTGGAATTAAAGAATTCAATTTTATTCAGTTCAATTATATAAAATTTTAATTTCAACTCAGTTCTAATTTTTTTTATTCATTGTACAAAATGGAGGCTTAGAGTATTTCGTTACACAAACTTTATAAGAAATGTGTTTAATAAAAAAAGAAGAAGAATATTGTTTAGAGATGAAATGAACTAATTAATCTATCTATTGGGTTGAAATAAAATATTTTACCAACGTTAAGTTTTAAGCCTTTTCTTTTTTATTGGTCATCTCCCAATGAAAATATGAGATTATTCCATCTCATCCTCAAACACGGTTCTATTGACTGTGATTAGTAAAACCTAAAAAGCTGAATCTTTGATATATTATTCAAATTTTAGCCTTGTACATAACTATGCATTTTCACACTTTTAATCCTTTTTTTCAGGAAATTTAATCCATGATTATGGACACCTTTGCGTTAAGTTAAATTTGCCACGGATGGTAACAAAACTTGGTGCCTTTCCCCTTTTAGTACCACTTGTTTTTTGTCAAAAATGGAACGAATTTGCACCTGATCTCCCTATTTTACCCTATGTTATTTGCGTCTAAATTTAACCTTCTTCTTTGATTCAATTTTCCGCCGCGTGCTCTCTTCTTCGTCTTTCTGCAAATCGATCATACTCTCCTCTCTCAAATCAATGTCTGCTCAACCTCCTTCATATTGTATATTGCTAAATGTTGATGGCGAATGGAGTGATGATTCCTCCTTTCATTCTAAACGTAACACTGAGTTGGAAATCCATTCTGAAAATTCTTTCGCAGACCTAATGGACGTTGTTCGTATTTGTTGCCAGTTTGCCCTCCCCCTATTGTTATTGATGATGATTCCAGTTTTCGATTTTACTTGCAACTGAAATCCTTTTACAGAGATGCTGTAATGTTGCCATTGTGTGTTCAATTCTTCCCCAATTTGCTCAACGCAACATCAAATCTTGTTTTGCCCTTGATTTCACATGCTCAATCTGGTCCTCATCCTCCCTCGTCAATGTCTTTGAATTTCAATTTAGATGACAATGATTCAATGCCTACTAGGGACATTGCGCTTGTCAATCATGTAAACACTGTTTCATTGATGTCTGAATCTGGTCCCAGCCTCCGTGGTCAATGTCTTTGAATTTTAGTTCAGATGACAATAATTCAATGCCTACTGAGAATAATGTAGCGGCCAATGAAGAGAATACTATCTCATTTATTGATAAATATCAGCTTCTAGTTCATTCTCCATCTGCTTTTCAGCCTGCACCTGCATCTACTACTTCCACCTCATCATCAATGCCATTTAGTACGGATGGGACAAGTTATGATTAAGAAGGCACTGATTATTTTAGTGGCACTCATCAAGTGACATCTGATGAAGTATTGTATATGTCCCCAAATTTTGAGATCTTATCCCATTTCCACCACACTACAATAGTTGTTGATGCAATATATGAGAGCAAGGAAGTGCTGGATTACCACTTAAAAATATTGGCTATCAGAAACTATTTTCAATATAGAACGAGGAAATCCACAAAGAAAGTTTTACATGTTGTATCTGTAGATAGTAGCAGCTGCAAGTGGGCTGTCAGAGCTGTTAAAATGCCACGCGGTGAAATGTTTCAGATTCGCAGGTAGCATTTCTACTCATTATGTTGCTAAGTGTTCTTAGACTTTCACCGCTTTTGTTGTCCAAATATTCTTGTGTTAGTGGTGTTTATACTGTTGTACGACATCTTTATTTATGTGTTTTTAGTATTTACACTTCAATGCACCTATTTGTCATCATCTGAAGCAAGTATATTAGACATGCGTAGGGACCATGGAATTTTTATGAATTATAAGAAAGCATGGTTTGCGAAAGAAAAGGCTTTGAAATTAAGTTTTGGATCAGATGAAGAGTCATATGCAATGCTGCCATCAATGTGTTATACGCTAAAAAATTCAAATCCAGGTTCCACCATTGAGCTTAACACATTTGATAATGAGTTCTTTAAGTATTTCTTCATGTCTCTATGTGCTTGGAAAGATGGATGGGCTCACTGCATTCTAGTTTTGATTATTGATGGGTCATTCATGAAATCATACTATAAAGGCACGCTTCTAACTGCTGTTGCAATGAGAACAAACAAATATTCCCACTGGCCTTTGCCATTTGTAATGCTGAAGACACTGCGAATTGGAAGTGGTTTTTGAAAAAGGTTAAAGAGGTCCTTGTAGCTCAAAAAGTGAAGTATATTGTGTCTGACCGCCATGATGGCATTATAAGTGCTGTGCAGTCTGTTTTCCCAAACGTTATACATGGACATTGTATATATCACATTCTTGGTAACATTAAGACGTCATTCCGTGGCTCTGCAAAAGTTGTTACATGGAAGTTTATTCGTGCGGCAACTATTCGTGAACGGAATTGGTATATGAAATTGTTAGATGAGGAGGATCCAACCATTCAGCCATATCTAGCACGCATTAGGAGTGGGTTCGGTTTTGGCGGTTCAGTTTTTACCCAAAACCAAAGACAAAACGGAAGGTAAATTGGCGGTTCGGTTCGGTTTTGCATAAAAAATATAAAAACCGTTGGTTATTCGGTTCAGTTTTTAACAGTTTTTATTTTGGTTTTTTCGGTTTATAAAAGTAGAAATTTATAAGCATTAAAAAATTATAAAACACTAACTCGATGAAACAATAAAAATATGTAGTGTTAGCTTTGGTTTTTTTGTTTGATTTTTACACAAAAACAAAAAACCAAACAGAAGGTTATTGCTTCTTTTAGTTTAATTTTACATAAAAAAGATGTGTGGAGTGCCAACAAACATTTAGAAGATTCTAAATACTTCCAAAGACATCGTATGTAAAATCAATTATGAAGAATTTATATTTTTTGTATAATACTTTCAATTTCATTATAAGATCAAAGTATTTTTTTATGTAAATATGTAAATTACGTGTATCAATTTTTAATCTTAATATGATTCTATATTAGGATTACTATTGGTGTTCATATATATTCTTAAGTTTTTTAAAGTTTATAATAATAATATGGCTAGAATATTTAATTAATAGATGAGAAAATAATTTAAATCGACTAGTAATTTATTTGCATTTATATTTCTATGATTTTTCTACATATCACATATATTCATATAAATAAAGTGAAATATCTAAAAAAGTTCGGTTTATTCGGTTCGGTTTGGTTTTTCAAAGTGAAAACCAAAACGGAACCAAATACTAACGGTTCGGTTCGGTTTTTTTTACATTCGTTTTCGGTTTTTTCGGTTCGGTTTTTTTACTAGCTCGTTTCGATCGATTTCGGTTCGGTTTGCGGTTTTCGGTTTTTCCAACCCAGCCCTAGCATGCATTGGATTTTCGAAGTGGTCTCGGGCAGAATCAGCAAACAATCGATACTCAATCATGACATCAAACAACGCTGAGTCAATGAACATTGTTGATGCTTTAGCCCGCGAGTACCCCATTGCACAACTTATTGATTTCATAATTGTGAGGATGCAAAAATGGTTCCATGAACGGAGAACCTTGGCTAATTCTACGTCATCTATTCTGACAAGGCATTATGAAGCAAAGTTGAATGAGCTACATGCTTCGTCTGCAGTCATGAGTGTACGTCTTACAAGGCATTATATTCACATTCTTGTTTCTTTTTCATTTATTTTATTCTACTACCACAATGCATTTTCTTATGACTATATGTTTTTCATACTTTGACTATCAAGAATATTTTTTTCACGTTTGCCCATCTTGTGAGTATGAGTTCCAGGTTTTGGACACCACTGGAAGGGCTTTTGTAGTTAATCTCCGGTCTAGGACTTGTACTTGTTGTGAGTTCCAGACCGATCACTTCGTATGTGTTCATGCTGTTGCAGCTATTCGTACATGCCCAAGTGTTTCATGCTATGAATTTATATCAAAATACTACACTACTTCTAAGTAGATTGCATCATATGAAGGTATTATACACCCATTGGGTAGTAGAGACAGTTGAGTTGTTTCAGAGGGTGTGTCAGGTATTTTGTGTAGACCTCCCTCATGTTCTAAACGCCCACCTGGAAGACCCAAGAAGCGGCAAATTCCATCCAGGGGTGAGACTACGAGCAGGCAATGTTGCTCTCGGTGTACAATGCCTGGAAATAATTAAAAAACCTGCACCAACCCCCTTTCTATCCGTCGCACATAAGTCTTTATGCAAGAGTATCTTTTTTTGGAATGGAGCTTATGTTTCTTTCTAATTCATGAACATTTCAAGTCCTTTTTTGTATTGTCTTTTTGAAATTGATCCTAAGATCATGTCATTTCACTCTTTTCTTCAGCTCTGTTGTTTTTACTTTTCATTTGTGTTGAATGCCATGATATTCATGTGTTTGTGGAATGGGTCATTCTGTTTCCTGTAAATTCCGTTACATAACAGCAAATATAACCAAAGTCCTAGAGTATTTTCAATGATACCCCCTCCCCCTCCTTCTCCTGCCTTTGCTTTCTAGCCCTGGTTTTAGTGTTGTCCTCAAGAACATGAGGGTCTGTAGGGATTACCATTCTTTGATAAACGTATGTCATTAGTATCAGCCAAAGATAGATTTAAAGAGATTCCATGTGTTTAAAAGATTGTGTTTGCTCATGCCAACATTACAATGCCAGATTCTTTGACATTGAATGGTTTTGGTGTGTCATTTCTTAATAAAAGTTATTTGTTGGAAGAAGTGATTCTGTCATTGATAAAAGTTTACTCACGTGTTTAAAGGTTACTTCTTTACTCCCCTTTTCAAAAAAATATTCATCAAATACTGTGCCCCAATTTTATCCAAAAAAGTAATGTCATTACTGCACAGTAATGTCATACTGTGCACTTACAACCCATATTACTAATAATAGGAAAAGTACTGATACTGCACTAAAAACCCATAGTGCAACTACTACAACACCATACTAAAAGTAAACATAAAAGTTTTTTAAACTTGGTTACATTTCCCATGCTAATGCTCAGCCCTCCTGTTTGCATATAACAGCACTTCTGTTGCAATTTTTTTCCTGAAACTCTCAATGCCTGCAACATCCACTTCCATCCCCATGATTAGATGCTCAGCCATCTTTACAACGAATACGCCACAGCTCACCCTGCATATTATTACGTACATTGGACATTATGGTGGTTTAAGTATATTACATGTTATTAGGTACCTAGAAAGGACATTTATAACATCTACGAACTTACGCGTCCTGTTGTTGTGGGCAATCATTTATGTTCACAATGCCTAGCACATCATCTCCCATCTCAGGCATTTTCCGCTCCTTGTACACTTCCAGTTTGTCCATCACCTTTGGCAGTAAGATCTGTAGACATGGAAGGTATGGTTTTGTGTGGCGACTGGTCTTCCCCTTTTGGTTAGAATCATACAGCCTAATGCATTTCTTTGATATGTCAAGCACAGCCAGTATCTAATGGTTTCCAGTGTTGATTGGCATGTACACATAATCACATTCTGCCCAGCGTCCTCCCAATTCTGGTACAGCCCCTAGGATTGGTTTCAGTATTGAAGTGTTCAATGCTACTTCAGCAATGGTTTTCCTTTTTCCCAAGTAGTTGTCATATTCTTTCTTCAAGAGACTGACAAAAAGGTTGTCTATTACTGCAAATGGCTGGGTCAACCCATATTCTTTGCTTTATGACCAGGTATTTCAAGGCCATAGTTACATGCTGTAGTAGATAAAGCGTTGTAAATCATTAGTATATTTAAAAATCCATAACCATATTTGTATAATCATTTAATAAAATGTGTATGTTCATACTTACCACATCATCCATCCATTCATGACGGTAGAAGAATCCATAGTACCACATTTTTGTCATTGTCTCGTCATGCCCCCACAGTGGCCGAAATTCTTCTGGGTTTAAAGCATTTTCCTGGCTTGTGTACTTTGTGCCATTTGCTTTTTTCTTATTTCTTAGGAGACCTTGTGCTAAAAACAACTCCACATTCTCAACAGTTAATGCTAATTTTGGCCCTTTGGGATAACTTTCTGCCATGCCAGCTTCGTCCTCCACATAGTTGGGTTGCAAATTGTCATCACAGCCATCTGTGGTTTTCTGTTTAGATGTCTGTGGTCCTTATCTGCTCTTTGCCTTTCTTGTCTTTAATTATTTGTTAGAATGAGTAAACTTATCTGGGCATTTCACAACCCTCTTCTGCCTTGCAGTGTCTTTTGGTTGGTCAATGGCAATATCCTTAGTCTGTTGTTCTTCAACATCTATACCATCCGGGTCTTGTGCTTGTTCATCCTGAATGTCCTCAAGTTGACCAACATTGAGCTGTGGTTCAACATCTATACCATCACTGGGATCATCATTGAGGACTTGTTGTTGTTCAGTGGGAATATCATTGAGGATTTGTGGTTGTTTAGTGGGAATATCAGTGAGGACTTGGCATGGTTCAATGGGAACAACATTGGGCATTTGTGGTGGTTCATTGGGAATATCATTGACGATTTGTGGTGGTTTAGTGGGAATATCAGTGAGGACTTGTGGTTGTTCAGTGGGAACATCATTTAGGAGATGTGGTTGTTCAGTGGGAAACAAATAATTGGTGATACCCTCTGCGACCTTTGGTTGTAGAGTAAGGACTAATGTCCCAAATGGCTGGATCCAAATCCTCTACTGCCTATACAAATCAAATGTAATGCAACAATTAGTCATTGGAAATAAACAAAATGACACTCTACCAACTGAAAAATGTTCCATATCAACTAGATTAAATATACCTGAGCAGCTTGTGATGCTATTTCCACATTTTCAATGACACTCTCCATTTACTGGCCTTCCTCCAAACCATCTTTCATCACCTATAGCATGATTTATCTCTTAGTATGTAATTTCAACTCCAATTGCAACCATCTTATTAAACATAATCATGTAGCTTTGCATTATATGTTTTAGTACGTACCTGCTGGTCAATGACTTTATTGTCAATGCCTTTCTTGTCACTGATTTTATGTAATGTTCCCAAATCAGCTTCAACCACGTGCATAGTTTCCTGTGTCATCAAGATGAACAATTAAATATGGTCATTGTCAGGATGTTAATTGCTAAAAATTTATGTGTCAAACCTGGCAATTGGGATCAGTGTTTGCCTCAGTCAACAGCCCATTCTTTCAATCAATGTCCATGTCTTCTCCATTCTCCTTTACACAGTCTCCAGTCTTATCTTGTTCCAAATTTTGACCATCCTTTCTATGAGCAGCCTGTGGTGTACAACGTAGATCAATGCCTAAATCAAAACTTGGAAACTGAGTGTCTTTCTTGCTGGATTCCTTACTCTGTGTTTTCCCCAAAATGCCAGCATTTTTCAGGAATTCCTCAACCAATCCCCATTGTTTCTGGTTTTCCTTTCTGAACTCTTGTATCTCACTTAATACTTTTCTATTGTTCTCTGCCATGTTAGCTGCTATACTCTTCACCATTTTCTCCAAATATTTTATTTTGTTCAATGTTTCATTCTTCCATTTCTCATCTCTGGCACCATTCTTCTCCAAAATAATTTGAGGACTGTGTGTTTTTGAGGTCTTTTTTGGATTCATTTTTGGGGATTTTCCCTTTTTGGATGCATTGCTCGGGGCTTTTCCTCTTTCTGGCGTTTGCTGTAGCATGTAAAGCATCCCCATGTTCCCTAACAACAGCTGTTTCTGGCATTGTCATCTTTAGTATCTGAAGAGATAGGCGGTTCCTGGCTTTTTTAAAAATGACTTATTTTCATCAGATTTTACGATCTCTGTCCACTCAAACTGCAAATCAAAACAATGGCAAATTATGATTCAATGTAAATTTAATTTTGATAAAAAAATACAATATTATATACAAAACAGTACCCCACTCATCTCTTTTGTTTTTTTAATTTTTACCTTTTCATTTTTTAATATTTTCTTCTCCAACAACTCTTTGGTGGTCCTCACGTCCGCTGACCATCTCAATGCCCTTGGCCATGATATCTTCTTTTCTTCGTCCAGTATACATTCCTTCTCTTGCATCAGTGCTGGAAATGTTTCATACGCCCATATCTGTAAAGCGAAATAGAATCTAGGGAAATTGAACCTTGGTTTCTTGCTTGTATTCATACTACAACAACATTTTCGAACATTCTCTACCAGATCTTTCCACACATCTTCTCCCCATGGATACCTATTAAAATTGGATAAATCATCGACCAAGTGGAGATACAGTCTAGGGAGTTTAATACTTGGCTGGTTACCAATTATACAGGTCCCTAACATGTATAGGAGCCCCAACTTCACTGCATCTAAAGCTTCTCTATTTTTATTTCTCTTGACTCTCTCAAATTCAATCTTCACATCTTCTCTTGTCACATTCATTTGACCATTGAAGTATCTTTTACTTATGTCACTTGGTTCTGTATAATTCTCTATTTTTTCACTGCTGTTCCCAAACCTAAAACCACTCACCTCCTCGAAGTCTTTCTTTCAGTCTACCACAAATGGAAAATGAAATTTCTGCAGAGGCGTGCACTCTGTCCATTGGCTCCACATGGTTGAGTGTGCGAAGAATCAGAAGTTGGCCATTAACACATTTCAATTCTCCAATGCCTAACCAATATCCAAAGGCAGTTTCTCGAAATTCACTTAGTTCTTCTTTTGAAAGCACTTCTTTCAACTTCTTAACCCCATTACCAACATTGCAGTATGAATTTATTTTAGCTTCAGTTTTTGTATCCAGTAGGTTCGGATTACACAGGCATTTATAGACCTGTCACATTAAATAAAATTTTGTTCACTTCGTTTCCAAACACACAACACAAATTGCATTAGAAAGTATTTTAAGTTTTCTTTCAAATGCCTTAGAGGACATTAATACACCAATTTCAATGCACAGTAACATCCGCTTGACTTTATGCTTCTCATAAGCCCTCAAAATTTTATGTCCCAATAAAAATGTCATTATATTCATTTTAAGACTTAACAGGACATTCATTCACTAACCAAAGACACTGTCTCATCATCACAATAAAACCGTGTAAACCATATAGACATTAATAGACTCTGTCCAAATCATAGCATCCCTTGGGCTTTATGTTAGTCATAATCCCTCAATACTTACTTTTATATCCACAAATATCATTATATTCATTCAAATGCCTAACAGGCATTAATACGCCAACGGAACACATAGTCTCATAATTTGTAATAATCCAGGTAGACATTATTCTTATTAATAGACATTAGTAGACAGTAATACACCAATGGAACACATATTATCATAATTTGTAATAATTCAGGTAGACATTATCAGATATTATTCTTATTAATAGACGAGTAGACAGTAATACGCCAACGGAACACAGTCTCATAATTTGTAATAATCCAGGTAGACATTATCAGACATTATTCTTATTACACACAAGCCGCAATTGAATTGTTCAAATCACAAAAACATCTGCTGGATTTATGATTCTCTTAAGCCTTCAAAACTTATATCTCAATGAAAAAACTGTAATAATTAGACATAAATAAAACTCGGTAGACAATAATTAGACCAAGTAGACATTAATAGACGACATTGTAGACATGCTCAATTTAAAACTCATAACTATTGAATTCAATCAACAATAACAGAATGCATGCCTTCAATCAATTTCATAAACTTCAATTTCATAAAGTTCAAAGTTCAGTTCATGTTCACCAATTTGAAATTGTAAAATTCAGAGCTTACGAGTCCGTTAGGCATTTTCAAAAGCATATCATCGGATTCCCTCGGCACAAAATCTCTGTCTTCGCTTTCACCTTTCTTAGACGCCATTGTTACCTTCATCGAACATTGATTTACTAAAGCCATTGAATTGGTATCGCTTTCCTAGATTCGCGTTCTCTCTCTCTCTCTCTCTATTTTCGCTCCTATAGATTTGCATCGAGAGAAGGTGAGCCTGGATTGTTTAATGCCCTGATCGATTAGCTCGGTTCCCTAGATTTCTTGTCGCTCGTAAATGTCTCTCGTTTTTCGAAAATTGCGGCTTGCACGTTTCTCCAAATCCAGCGGCCAGGGTTATTTTAGTCATTCTAGTCATTAAAAAAACGTTTCCGGTAGTACTGGTCCTACTTTTGGAAATTAGCATTGTTTTAGTACCATATTTGGAATTTTGACTTGCGTTAAATGTAAAACTTGCCAAAAACTATCACGTGCAGATCCGCGTATAAATGACACTAAAATTGAATTTTAAAAAAATGACCCTAAAATTTTGCAAAAATAAAAGTTGGAATGAAAATTCGCCCATTTTCATGATTACATCCACTTATAGAATTTGATGCTTCGTTCGCTATCCCAGGATTCACATCACCATGCTTCTTTTCGTTCCAGTGAAATTGTTGACAATCACCAAGTAGAGAGGCGGTTGGGATGGGAGCAACGTATGTCCCTGTTTGGTATCAGCGTTAGCGCTTTGAAAAGGCTATCTGACGGTAACCTTTAACGTTAGTATTTTCAGAATAAGTCTATACTATTAAAATTTTATCCAAAATGCTAACGTTAATAGAAAATGCTATTTCCAAACAAGGCCCATGGGCTAGGAGGTAGTCAAACCACTCTCCAACCGAACAAAGCATTGTAGGGATCCGATCCATGACATTAAAGTTTAATGTCAATAACACAATAAATTAAATTAATTCATCCGTCCCACAATGATTTACACTCTTCACTATTCAAAACGTCTTGAAAACTTTTGTTTATTTGTGTATTTTTATTGATTATTTGATGAAATAAAATATTCTTGTTATATCTTATTTTTTACCTTCTCTGTCCCATAAAATTTTTCAAAAATGAAAAAACGCGCGCCCTACAAATGAACTATTTTGATATTATTTTCTAATTCTGACTCATCTATCCTACACATCATATCCTAGCTTATTATAAAGTAAAGACAAAATTTGAAATTAATATAAAAATGTATATTTTTGTGGTGTGCTTTTCTTCTTTTTTCAAAAGTTTTATGGCACAGAGGTAGTACAATTTTTGATATATTTTTTAAATATGCAAGTTTTATTTTATATTTCTTTAACAATATTTAAAACCAAAATGAAATAAAAAACTTGGAATTTCACTTTGTTTTGCGTAAAATGGAATTCACTTAGGGACATATGAAATATTAATTAATTAATAATTAAAGTTTTATTTTCAAAATGCAAATTTTAAGTACTCCCTCCTTTCAGTTTAAATTGCTTATTAAAGTTTACAATTTTAATAGAAATTATTCTCAATTTATTTTACAATTGGTGTTAATTTAAAAATACAAATTATTATGGCACAAATTTTAAAAGTACATAAAGCGACGAATCGGAAGATCAAATGATTATATTATTTTATGAAATGAGAGACAAAGTAGTATAAAAAGTAGGTAGAATTTGACTATATGAGTATTGCTCAAACATCTAGTAATTTAAATTAGGACATATAGAGTACTACTTATTGAAAAACGATGAAGTTTTAGTAATCCCTTTGTCCCTAATTTTTTTTCTATTTTGACTTTTATAAAATTTAAGGGAGATATATGTTTGTATTGAATTTTTTCTATATTGCTTTTGATGTGATAGATAAAAATAGAATGTAATGGATAAATTATTAGTGGTTTATATTTAATAAGAATGAGATGGTATTTTGAGACAAAACAAAAATAAAAAAGCCTTTTGAAGAAGGAGAGAATATTTTACACAATTAAATGAGGAGTGACTCCGAGTTTGACATGTGAAAAGTAAGTAGAACAAACAAGGTAAATTCTATTGTCGACTTAAGATCCACCATCACTACAAGAAAGTTGGTATTTCGTAGCACTTAAAATTGTTGTTCGCCACACTTATAAATGTGGAAAAAAGAATTGCCACACATGCACTAAGTGCGGCTACGTAAATGTGGGGAAAGTTTTGCTGCACTTTTTGACGAGTGCGGCTAATGAACACATTAGCCACACTTATAAATGTGGTTAATATTTTGTTTTACCACATTTATATTTGCTTTTAAAAAATACACATATAAAAATACTAGAATTTTTAAATATTTTTATTTCATAAAAAGCCTATGTGGGACTCGAACCAACATCTTCGTGAACTTTTGCACACGACACTCTACCATTGAGTTAATAGGCTAAGACATTAGTATTATTTTTACAAAGCATGTCAAAGAAACTTGAAAAGGTTTATAGATATGACTATTTTTTATGAAATGAGTAATGATAATAATAAAGAAAGTTTAAAAACTTTGACCACGTGAATAGTGATCGGAAACTTCACTTTGAGACAAAGAGAGTAGTGAATTTGTGAATCAATTCAAGATGGGAATATACTTGAAAACAATAGTACACGTAACTTAGACTGACCTGGAATTCATTTGCTTAGATAGTTAGTCTCTATGAATAAGGCTAGATAGAAGCAAACCCGTTGGCATATAAATAAGGGCGTTTCTCCCATGCCCAAGCAAATGAGAGGGCATGGATACCCCTCCATCAAATTGCTGCCATGTGTACAAATTAAGTAAGAGACTCCACATCATTTTAAATTCTAGAAATTATAGTATGGCCCTATCTATTTCTTCTTGTTAGTTCTTCCCTTCCTTTATCACATATTCACATTTCGTTAACTTGTTGCTTTCGTCATATTTTTTTTCACTACATTTTTTCATTAAAAGCAAAATTAAATAGAAAAGGCCTAATAGAGTAATAATTATAGTCTCTCGTGGTTTAGAAAAAAATAGGGACCAACATTCTCTCTATTTTTAAAACTTATGTTTAAAATAATCTTTATTATTTTAGAAATTACCCTAAATAAGAATAAAACATACAAAAAATATGAAAATAGGAGTTTCATGTTTTTAATTTCTCAATAGAAGTTCGCATTGTGGTTATATAGCATTGTACATAAATATTTTACTATACTTTTTTGTAATAAATATGATCATGATTGGTAATGTAAATGCATTTTAACTCTTATTTCAGGAATAAAAATATGGAACATGGAACTCTTATTTTGATATATTCTTAATGTTTTACTCATACTTTAGTCTTTTTCGATCTCTTATGATTTCTAAGCGCCGCATAGACATTCCCTGTAACTTTTCCCGTTCATTTTTTCGGCGAAGAGGGGGATTAATGTTTAATTTTTAAATCACACGGCATCGAAGTCAATATCTTATTTTTTGTTCATTTTTTCTTTTTTTTGAAATTTTTTTTGAAATTATTTTAAAAATCAATATTGTTTCTATTAGATATAAAAAGTAAATGAAATGAAGAAACTAAAATTCATTGTCTATATTTTTTTGTCTTTTGAAATAAAAAGAAAAACTTTTTGAGACGTTTAAAAAGACAACAAGGAATAGTGAAAGACAATTAAAAAAAATAGAATAGAAAAAATATATGAAAAATACAAAAAATACACTTGTAGAAAAAGAAAATGTATACTTGTAGTGCGTAAATAAGGTTTTTAACCACTTACTTTTAAATATTCATATCATTTTTTACTTTTTTATTATTTGTGAAGAGAAAATAAGTAATTTTTATAAGACGAAGATAATAGTACGTATTATTGAAACTATTAATCCCTCCATCCATAAATATCGTCACTTTTTTGTTGATTATCTGATAAAATAAAATAGTTTTTTCTCCATTTATTTTACGTATTTTTTGAAAGAAAACAACAATTTAGGGACAAAGGTAGTATTTTTTTGGAAAGACAAAGGTAGTATCATTATTTTAATAATAATAATAATAATAATAATAATAATAATAATAATAATAATAATAATAATGAGCATCATTTATCCATACGTAACATTGTTATTGTGCTAAAAAATTATTAATTTTTTTATTTTATTTATATTATAATAGTAATTATTATTGAATTATATGTGACCTTAAATAATGTAATAATTATATAGTAATCATTATTTAATCATAGACAAAAGAATAAAATTGTTTTCAATATTTTTTAAATAAATCTTGTCTGATCTGAATAGAGAGGATATGATATAGTCTGATCTGATTTGAAGATATGATTTAATTACATCTTATTTGAGTGCATCTCATCTATTATGATATAATATAAATTTAATAAAAATAAATAATAAATTAGAAAAAATAAGTTAAACGCAATGCAACTTAAGAGAATGTAAAAAATGGGGTGATAAACTTCTTTTTATGAAAGCATTAAATGGAGTAATAACTCCTAATACGTACTCCGTAATGAAATGTGATAATAGAAGAGAAGAACTAACAAGAAGAAATTAGATAGGGTTATACTATAATTTCTAGAATTTAATATGACGTGGAGTCTCTTACTTAATTTGTACACATGACAGCAATTTGATGGAGGAGTATCCATGCCCCCTCATTTGATTGGGCATTTGATTGGGCATGGGAGAAACGCCCTATAAATAATCATTCCACATTTCAGATGCAATAGAGTCACGCAAATGGGAAACCTATTCCTTTGGTAGCAATCCCACTTAAAAATAAAGCCGTAGATAGACCACCTCAGCTCATGCAGTGCCAAAAATGTAAATGTCAATAGTGATTTCAAGTGTCTTTTTACCAACAAAATTTCAAAACCACCTGAAAACATCATGGGACAAGGGAGGATAACATTAGCATATGCATAGGTAATAATAATTGATATTTTATTATTAAAGAATTAAGGTGTATTAATATTAAAAATAGGAGTATTTTACCTTCATGTAAAGGGGTTCATATATCTTTTGATATTCAGCTTCAAGTGTTGCCCTCTTAAAAAACTTAGCCTAGTTCATTATGGTTGTTCTGCAAACTTACAACTATGATTGAGACATGATATATACAACCGTGCTTAAATACGCAGCAACATCTGTGTGAAGTTAACAACTCAAAACATCTCAAAGCCACATATCAAAAACATCACAACCATCAATATCTAACTAAAAGAGAACCCTATGGAACCTCCAAAGTAGAAGTAGAACTCACTGCCATCCTAAAGTAGTCTATGCTTTTAGGCAGTCTTGAGGCTAGCCAAAGTTACATATCAACCTATTACCCATGTTTCATGTTGTCTCTGAACTTGTACTCATCAAAACTTCAAAGAAAAAGGTAAAAAACTAGAAAGAACATGCTCACCTCTGATCAAAAGACCAAATCAAGTGGTCGTCATCACGGTTGACCGTTTGATCGTCTCCCAAAAGCCCGTCATTCTGCCTCTCGGACGGTCGACCGTGGACATCAAGACGGTCCACCGAGTCGACCGCCTGTACCTTGTCTGCTTCTCCATTTTTCTCCGGTCGACCGTTCCTTATGTAACGGTCCAGCTGCTCTTCCGCAGGCATCTCTTCATCGTCTTCAAAGTAATCGATCGAGGGGGAACTACTCGATCCACCTTCATCTGAGGTTTCACTTTCGGAAATCTAGTGAGGAAAAATGTTTCCACAGAATACAAGATCCCGTGACACACTGATCTTCCTAGTGTCCGGGAAATACACACGCCATCCCTTCTTTTCTTGTGGGTAACCCAAAAATATTCCAGGAATACTTCTAGGTGCAAATTTATCTCCATCCCTCTTCAAAGTGTGAACATAACACCTGCAACCAAAAACACGAATGTGAGACAGTGCAGGGGCCCTTCCATAAAGCTTTTCATACGGTGTAACCCCCCTAACAATGAAGAGGTTGTGCGATTGATCAAATGTGCCGCAGCTTGTACACAATCTCTTCAAAATTTAATCAGAAGCCCCGCCTGAAATCATAGAGCTCGACCCACATTCAGAATATGACGATGTTTGCGTTCCACTCTTTCATTCTGCTGCGGTGTAGACACACAAGATGTCTCACGAACAATTCCTTTTTCCTAGAAATATTCATTCAAGCATTTGAATTCTGTGCCATTGTCACTACGAACACACTTTATTTTCTTCCCAAAATGATATTCAACCATGGCACAAAATTGCTTAAAAACACTTCCTACAGTGCACTTAGAATCAAGCAAATATACCCACACACCACGAGAAAAGTCATCCACAATAGTTAAAAACATTGTAGAACCATCCAAACTTGGTGTCCGATAAGGATCCCATAAATCACAATGCACCATATCAAATTTGTATATAGATTGATGAAAACTGATAGAAAAACTAGCACGAGTTTGTTTAGCATGCAAACAGACATCACAATGACTATGACTACTTTTATTTGATCCAACTACAGAAACTAAAGACAAAACATGCGAAGAAGGATGTCCTAGACGCTTGTGCCAAAGATCAAACAAATTCTCCTTCGTAGCACTGTACGCCATGCTTCTTTCCTCCAACTTCATATAGTATAGTCCTCCTTCATGTCTACCCACACCAATCATTGTCCTCAAACTTTGATCCTGTATTATGCACAAATTATTGGTAAACTTTGCCTCACAGTTCAAATCCCTTGTCAGCTGTGAGACAGATATTAAATGGAAATTCAAAGTTGGAACAAATAACACATTCTGCAATGTCATAGTCATTGTTAGATCAACCTTTGCAGATTGAACAGATACTACTCATTTTCCATCAGGTAACCCAATTTCACATGGGGTCACACCCACCACATCATACAATAATGAAAGATCACCTATCATATGATTTGATGCACCAGTATCAATTATCCAACGTGGTGACACAGGAATACATGTAAGTTTCTGATTGGTGTCTGTAGGGGATAGTGAAAGGGCGTGACGAATAGCGTTCCACTGCTCCGAAGTTTGATCCTCAAAATTAGGCAGCGGTGAAGGTCCTTTTTCCTCTCTTTGAACAACATGAACTTCACCTCGTCCACCAGGAACGGTCAACCGTCCAGTCCCTGTAGGTCGACCGCCCGCCACCTCGTCTGGTACCACGGCCTCTCCCTCGGCCATTTCCTCTTCCTCTTCCGGCCAGATCGTGGAACACCCACCCCTCGGGGTATCCAATCAGCTTGTAGCATGCATCAATCTCATGCCCAGATTTGCCACAATGAGAACAAAAAAGTTCCCTCGTGTCACCCTTATTCTTCACTGCGAACACGGAAGCACCTGCATCACTACCCTCTCCTTTGTGTATGCCGTTCCGTGCTGTTTCATGAGAAATAAGAATATTGTAAATTCTTCCCACAGGTGGTACAGGTTCATGTGCCAGTAGATTCGACCGCAGAACCCCATACCACGCATCATTCAAGCCCATCAAAAACTGATGGGAGCGTTCCGTCTCTCGCATCTCTGTGAACTTCTCGTGTAGACCACACATGCAGTTCTTGCACATACATACTGGGAATCGTTTAAGCTCCGAAAGATCATCCCACAACTTCTTTATCTTTCCATAATATTCCACTATGGGAAGATTCTATTGTTTACAGTCTGCCAATGCCCGCTTCAGCTGTTGAACCCTTGGTCCATTCACCATAGAGAAGCGGGCTTTCAGATCATTCCATAGATCTAAGGCTCTCTCCACGAACGATATGCTGGATCTCAAGGTTGGATCAATAGTATTCTGAATCCAAGAGACCAGCAAGGAGTGATTTGTCCACCAATCATCATAATCATCCGACTCAGGATCAGGCATCTCAATCGTTCCATTAACAAATCCAAACTTCTTGCGTGCTCGAAGAGCCAAATGTAGAGATTTAGACCATTCATCATAATTATCTCCCTTTAAGACAACTTGGGTCAAAAGCATACCCGGATTGTCACTAGAAGATAGATTGTACGGAGAGATATGACGATGTCGCACCCCAACTTCCTCTTCCTCTCGTTCCTCTTTCTTCTTGTTGGAAATAATCTTCATGGATGACTCTTCAGACATACTGAATGACACAGGTCAACGATGGAGCGAACAGCAGCGGCGGCCAGACAATCTGCCAACGAGACGGTCGACGCACTCGACCGTTCTGTAGCAACGGTCGACCGTTCCGGATCTTCGGCAGCAGCAACGAGCGACGATCGATGGATGCGATGCCGGTCGATCGTGAACTGTTTCCACAGAAATTCTCTAGGGTTTTGGCTCTGATACCATGAAAGAATTTAGAACTAGGGAGAAATTCTCTTGTATTTCTTATGATTTACAATATACAGACATGTCATGTATATAGGTTCTCACAACCTGAGACATAATATGGAAACTATCAACAATAGGAAACAAATCACTATACAAGGAAACTACCGAAAAGTAATATATACGAAAATATATGGGATTATATTCAAATAATCCCTTTCCTTCTTTAACAGGGACCAACTGCTGAGGAGAAAAAGCATAGACGTGGAGGTCGTGCCGATAAAAGAAATCTGCTTTAATTTTTAATAATGTATAAATTCTTAAACTTATTCTATGTTGGTTTGGGCTTGAACTCTAAGTTGTTTTTTTTGCTCTCCAATGTTCTCATTTTAAGTTTTTTTCAAATATTAAATATTGAACTCTTTAATTATTAAAATGACAACTTATTCTAATCAAATAAATGTTTTACTAAGTAAACCCAATTTTGCTAGCCCTCCGGCCTGGGTGACTTGGGTCACCCCGGGTGGGGTGTTACACTGTGAGTGTGTCTCATGTCTTTTCTGAAGACTAGGTTGCCGATTTGTTGACTAAGTCGTTGCCAAAACCACGCTTCCAGACTCTTTTTTTCGAAATTTTTGTTTGAGGCACGATGTTCAACCTGAAGAGGGATGTTAGACAATTAATTATGGTGAATATTAATTGTGGTAGACATTGTGTTTTAGTCAGCTTCTATTATTATTTTCTTAGTTCTAGTTGGGTTTGTATTTCTTTTATAAATACTTTGTTTGTATTCATGATTTTATGAGTGATACAATTGTCTCATTATTCATTAATAGTAACCACACTCTTTTATTTGATTTATTTTGTAATTTTTTAATTGTGTGGGTTTGCAAACAATGTTCATTATATTTCATTGAAGATTGTTGATTTATGAATTCACTCTTAAGGAATAATTGTGTACATGGATGTTTATATAGGTGAGGATCCCTACATGGACTAGGATTCACCAAATAAGTAAACTAACATAAATAACAATTCTACTATAACTAGACTTCTTTCCATATATGTCTAACATCCCCCTCAAGCTGAACGCCGTGAAACGAGAGGAAGCTTGGCAACCAATGCAGTGTAGCGTGGCGAGGCAAGAGCTTTTGTGAGAAGGTCTGCCAGCTGCTCATTAGAAGGAACATAAGAGACTGTCATTTTCTCTGCAATTACTTGTTCTCGAACAAAGTGGCAATCCGTTCCGACATGTTTCATGCGCTTATGGAAGACTGGATTCTTAGTCAGACAGATGGTGGACTGGTTGTCGCATAGAAGATGTGGAGGAGGGAGCTTGATCTGTAAAATGTCAAACAAGTAGGTGAGCCACATCACTTCAGCTGCTGCGGCCGAGAGGGCTCTGTACTCGGCCTCGGTGGACGAGCGTGAGACACGACTTTGTTTCTCCGTACTCCAAGAAAGTAAATTAGAGCCAAGATATATCAAGTAACCTGTAATGGACCGTCCATCTGTCATATCGTTGGCCCA